TTGTATAAATTGGAATTATAATTGTGGAGGGAGAAACAGTCAAAAAACTTTTCTGTTTACCTAGTAATTAGATAGAGGGAGCCGGTCGGCCGAGCGGACAGCACACTGGACTTGTGATCCTGTGGTCCCGGGTTCGATCCCGGGCGCCGGCGAGAAACAATGGGCAGTTTCTATCACTCTATGCCCCTGTTACCTAGCAGTAAAATAGGCACCTGGGTGTTAGTCAGCTGTTAGGGCTACTTCCTGGGGGTGGAGGCCTGATCGAGGACCGGGCCGCGGGGACACTATAGCCCCGAAATCATCTCAAGATAACCTCAGGAAGAGATCTACACCCTTATCTCTAATATCCCCCGTGCTAGCATATCTTCACCCATACTTGGAGTTACCGTCACTAAATATGGCCTCCCGGGTCAGTTATTATATACATTGATAAATGTTTACTATAATTTAGCTTCGATTATTTTCCTTTCGACTGTAATACTCAATACTCGTTGTTCACGCCTCTGTTACACCTCCTCCTCCTCCTCTACCATGCTGAGGTGCTGAAGGTGGTAAGGTGGTTGCTCATGGACCGGGTGCGCCTGGACCGGGTGCTCCTGGACCGGGTACTCCTGGACCGGGTGCTCCTGGACCGGGTACTCCTGGACCGGGTGCTCCTGGACCGGGTGCTCCTGGACCGGGTGCTCCTGGACCGGGTACTCCTGGACCGGGTGCTCCTGGACCTGGTGCTCCTAGACCGGGTGCTCCTGGACCGGGTGCTCCTGGACCGGGTGCTCCTAGACCGGGTGCTCCTGGACCGGGTGCTCCTGGACCGGGTGCTCCTAGACCGGGTGCTCCTGGACCGGGTGCTCCTAGACCGGGTACTCCTAGACCGGGTGCTCCTGGACCGGGTGCTCCTAGACCGGGTACTCCTGGACCGGGTGCTCCTGCTGGACCGGGTGCTCCTGCTGGACCGGGTGCTCCTGGACCGGGTGCTCCTAGACCGGGTGCTCCTGGACCGGGTGCTCCTGGACCGGGTGCTCCCGCGGCGTACCTTAAGGAGCGGATCATCTGCGGTAAAAACTGCACTTCTCTCACACTGTGAATGTGCGAAGGTGATGGCTTATTAGTACCTGGGTGAGCTCTCCCTCTCCTCTCACTCTTCCCACTCTCCCCACTCTCCCACACACTGGGATACAACCTATAGCAACCTCAGACCACCTGGCAGGCAGGTGGGTCAAGCCGTCGCTGCTCACACCGTCTCAGGTGAGGCTCATCTCCTGCTAATTAGTGGGGAGGTGTCTGTGAGTATTACCTTGAGAGTCTGGCTATGTAACGTTCTTGTCTCACAATCGAGAATCCCGAATTCGTATCCCGGGCAAGATAGAAATGGTTGGGCACGTTTCCTATCACCTAATGCCTCTGTTCACCTAGAAGTTAATATGTACCCGGGAGTTAGGCAACTGTTGTGGAGTTGCATCCTGGGGAGGGTCAGTAGTCCCACCTTCGTGGGGACCTCGATATAAACTGAACAAGATGGATTTAGAGTTGTTATTGTTTTAGATTTAGCCACTCAGAACGACATGTATATGTAGCACGGGGTATAGTGAGCCCGTAAGGATTTACAGATGATTGATGAAGGTAAAGCCAGCCAAGAGGTGGCACGGGCATGAATAGCCCGTAATACGACGGATTTACAGTTCAGTAGGTGGATATATATAGGCACGAAAGAGATGAGGTGAGGTACAATGTCTATAATGAGATAATGGGGTATTAATAAGGTATTAGCAAGATAAATGGGTATCAATGCTGCTACTCAAATCGCCCTTTAACTGATTAATCAAAAATGTGTCTAAATAATACAAACCACTGCTAATGTTCAAATTACATGATTTTGTAATCGGTATTAAAGCAGGATCAATTATGTTCCTATTGAATACTTTCATGTTTATAATACTTTCATATTTTATATTACATCTTCTGTCCGCCAGTCCTCCCCACCATTCCCACCTCCACTGTCCCCTCGTCCTCCCCACCATTCCCACCTCCCCCGTCCCCTCGTCCTCCCCACCATTCCCACCTCCCCCGTCCCCTCGTCCTCCCCACCATTCCCACCTCCCCCGTCCCCTCGTCCTCCCCACCATTCCCACCTCCCCGTCCCCTCGTCCTCCCACCATTCCCACCTCCCCCGTCCCCTCGTCCTCCCCACCATTCCCACCTCCCCCGTCCCCTCGTCCTCCCCACCATTCCCACCTCCACCGTCCCCTCGTCCTCCCCACCATTCCCACCTCCACCGTCCCCTCGTCCTCCCCACCATTCCCACCTCCACTGTCCCCTCGTCCTCCCCACCATTCCCACCTCCCCCGTCCCCTCGTCCTCCCCACCATTCCCACCTCCCCCGTCCCCTCGTCCTCCCCACCATTCCCACCTCCACCGTCCCCTCGTCCTCCCCACCATTCCCACCTCCACCGTCCCCTCGTCCTCCCCACCATTCCCACCTCCACCGTCCCCTCGTCCTCCCCACCATTCCCACCTCCCCCGTCCCCTCGTCCTCCCCACCATTCCCACCTCCACCGTCCCCTCACCTCCCCACCATTCCCACCTCCACCGTCCCCTCGTCCTCCCCACCATTCCCACCTCCACCGTCCCCTCGTCCTCCCCACCATTCCCACCTCCCCCGTCCCCTCGTCCTCCCCACCATTCCCACCTCCCCCGTCCCCTCGTCCTCCCCACCATTCCCACCTCCACCGTCCCCTCGTCCTCCCCACCATTCCCACCTCCACCGTCCCCTCGTCCTCCCCACCATTCCCACCTCCCCCTTCCCCTCGTCCTCCCCACCATTCCCACCTCCCCCTTCCCCTCGTCCTCCCCACCATTCCCACCTCCACCGTCCCCTCGTCCTCCCCACCATTCCCACCTCCACCGTCCCCTCGTCCTCCCCACCATTCCCACCTCCACCGTCCCCTCGTCCTCCCCACCATTCCCACCTCCACCGTCCCCTCGTCCTCCCCACCATTCCCACCTCCACCGTCCCCTCGTCCTCCCCACCATTCCCACCTCCACCGTCCCCTCGTCTTCCCCACCATTCCCACCTCCACCGTCCCCTCGTCCTCCCCACCATTCCCACCTCCCCCGTCCCCTCGTCCTCCCCACCATTCCCACCATTCCCACCTCCCCCATCCCCTCGTCCTCCCCACCATTCCCCACTCCCTCGTTCAATGCATTCCCATGTGATCTGATGTTCCCATAAAAAATTGAGAACATCAAATGATCTGATGTTCCCATCACTGAAATATAAGTAAAACTGTTAAAAAAAACGAAATGAAAAAAAATACAACAATAAAAAATAAACTATACTCACGAAATGAACAGTATGGTAAAAAACACAGCTGAATTCCAACGCAATGTCACTCAAAAATAATTAAGTCAAAATAAAAATAAATAAAAATCTATGAAAATTCAATTTGTCAGTGCAATTGGAAACATTGAAATGGAATTGTAACATATTTAGTACAGTGTGTGTTGCTCTTACGTGCAACAGATGGCGCAGTTTCTTAAAAAAAGTGTTTTTACCTGTCACAGGTGTGGCGTCTATACTTATAATTATGAAATGAACGGTATGGTAAACAACACAGCTCAATTTCAATGCAATGTCACAAAAAATAATTAAATTAAAATGATGATAAATCGAAATCTATGAAAATTCAATTTATCAATGCAATCAGAAACATTGAAATGGAATCATAACAATTTAGTATAGTGTGTGTTGCTATTATGTGCAACAGAATGTGGTGTTGTTAAAAAAATACATGTTTTTACCTGTCACAGGTGTGGCATCTATATAGCAGGTTTATAAAAACACGCGCATATTCGAATGGAACATTGTGTGAAAATTTCAAGATTTCCATCACATGAAAAACAACAAAAAAAACAGTTTTTCAAAAAAGCACGTTTTTTCCCGTCACATACGTGACATCTATACAGTGTGTATACAAAAACACGCTCGGATGCGAATGGAACGTTGTGTGAAAATTTCAAAGCAATCGGTGAAGAATTTTCGGAGATTAGCGATTTTGAACAAACGAACATATATAATTATATTTATATAGATTATTATTAATGAAGAAAAAAATTCCTTCTGAAATGCATAATAAATACGGAAATACTAAAGAAAATTCCTGTCTCGTTGACGTCAGTCTCTCGATGAGCGCCTTTTTTTTTTTTTGCTTAAAAAAAATCATTGTAATTAATAAAGCCGTTTGTTACACGCACTTAGTCCTGTAGGAACGAAAATATTCTGTATTAGTGCCAGGCACCCTGGTCGTTCATAAGAGCTGGTCGTTCATAAGAGCTGGTCGTTCATAAGAGCTGGTCGTTCATAAGAGCTGGTCGTTCATAAGAGCTGGTCGTTCATAAGAGCTGGTCGTTCATAAGAGCTGGTCGTTCATAAGAGCTGGTCGTTCATAAGAGCTGGTCGTTCAGTAGGAGCTGGTCGTTCATAAGAGCTGGTCGTTCATAAGAGCTGGTCGTTCAGTAGGAGCTGGTCGTTCATAAGAGCTGGTCGTTCATAAGAGCTGGTCGTTCAGTAAGAGCTGGTCGTTCATAGGAGCTGGTCGTTCATAAGAGCTGGTCGTTCATAAGAGCTGGTCGTTCAGTAAGAGCTGGTCGTTCAGTAAGAGCTGGTCGTTCAGTAAGAGCTGGTCGTTCAGTAAGAGCTGGTCGTTCAGTAGGAGCTGGACGTTCAGTAAGAGCTGGTCGTTCAGTAAGAGCTGGTCGTTCAGTAAGAGCTGGTCGTTCATAAGAGCTGGTCGTTCATAAGAGCTGGTCGTTCAGTAAGAGCTGGTCGTTCATAAGAGCTGGTCGTTCATAAGAGCTGGTCGTTCAGTAGGAGCTGGTCGTTCATAAGAGCTGGTCGTTCAGTAAGAGCTGGTCGTTCATAAGAGCTGGTCGTTCATAAGAGCTGGTCGTTCATAAGAGCTGGTCGTTCAGTAAGAGCTGGTCGTTCAGTAAGAGCTGGTCGTTCATAAGAGCTGGTCGTTCATAAGAGCTGGTCGTTCAGTAAGAGCTGGTCGTTCAGTAAGAGCTGGTCGTTCAGTAAGAGCTGGTCGTTCAGTAAGAGCTGGTCGTTCAGTAAGAGCTGGTCGTTCAGTAGGAGCTGGTCGTTCAGAAAGAGCTGGTCGTTCAGTAAGAGCTGGTCGTTCAGTAAGAGCTGGTCGTTCAGCAAGAGCTGGTCGTTCAGAAAGAGCTGGTCGTTCAGTAAGAGCTGGTCGTTCAGTAAGAGCTAGTCGTTCAGTAAGAGCTAGTCGTTCAGTAAGAGCTAGTCGTTCAGTAAGAGCTAGTCGTTCAGTAAGAGCTGGTCTCTCAGTAAGAGCAGGTCTCTCAGTAGGAGCTGGTTGTTCAGTAAGAGCTGGTCGTTCAGTAAGAGATGGTCGTTCAGTAAGAGCTGGTCGTTCAGTAAGAGCTGGTTGTTCAGTAAGAGCTGGTCGTTCAGTAAGAGCTGGTCTCTCAGTAGGAGCTGGTTGTTCAGTAAGAGCTGGTCTCTCAGTAAGAGCTGGTCACACAGTAAGAGCTGGTCTCTTAGTAAGAGCTGGTCTCTCAGTAAGATCTGGTCTCTTAGTAAGAGCTGGTCACACAGTAAGAGCTGGTCACACAGTAGGAGCTGGTCTCTTAGTAAGAGCTGGTCTCTCAGTAAGAGCTGGTCTCACAGTAAGATCTGGTCTCTCAGTAAGAGCTGGTCACACAGTAAGAGCTGGTCTCTTAGTAAGAGCTGGTCACTCAGTACGAGCTGGTCACACAGTAAGATCTGGTCTCTTAGTAAGAGCTGGTCTCTCAGTACGAGCTGGTCACACAGTAAGAGCTGGTCTCTTAGTAAGAGCTGGTCTCTCAGTAAGAGCTGGTCACACAGTAAGAGCTGGTCTCTCAGTAAGAGCTGGTCACACAGTAAGAGCTGGTCTCTCAGTAAGAGCTGGTCTCACAGTAAGATCTGGTCTCTCAGTAAGAGCTGGTCACACAGTAAGAGCTGGTCTCTCAGTAAGAGCTGGTCACACAGTAAGAGCTGGTCTCTCAGTAAGAGCTGGTCTCTCAGTAAGATCTGGTCTCTCAGTAAGAGCTGGTCACACAGTAAGAGCTGGTCTCTTAGTAAGAGCTGGTCTCTCAGTACGAGCTGGTCACACAGTAAGAGCTGGTCTCTTAGTAAGAGCTGGTCACTCAGTAAGAGCTGGTCACACAGTAAGAGCTGGTCGTTCAGTAAGAGCTGATCGTTCAGTAAGAGCTGGTCACTCAGTAAGAGCTGGTCGTTCAGTAAGAGCTGGTCGTTCAGAAGGAGCTGGTCTCCCAGTAAGAGCTGATCTCTCAGTAAGAGCTGGTCACACAGTAAGAGCTGGTCACACAGTAAGAGCTGGTCACACAGTAAGAGCTGGTCACACAGTAAGAGCTGGTCACACAGTAAGAGCTGATCTCTCAGTAAGAGCTGGTCACACAGTAAGAGCTGGTCACACAGTAAGAGCTGATCTCTCAGTAAGAGCTGGTCACACAGTAAGAGCTGGTCACGCTGTAAGAGCTGGTCACACAGTAAGAGCTGGTCACACAGTAAGAGCTGGTCACACAGTAAGAGCTGATCACACAGTAAGAGCTGGTCACACAGTAAGAGCTGGTCACACAGTAAGAGCTGATCACACAGTAAGAGCTGGTCACACAGTAAGAGCTGATCACACAGTAAGAGCTGGTCACACAGTAAGAGCTGGTCACGCTGTAAGAGCTGGTCACACAGTAAGAGCTGGTCACAGAGTAAGAGCTGGTCACACAGTAAGAGCTGATCACACAGTAAGAGCTGGTCACACAGTAAGAGCTGGTCACACAGTAAGAGCTGGTCACTCAGTAAGAGCTGGTCGTTCAGTAAGATCTAGTCACACAGTAAGAGCAGGCCTCATAGTAAGAGCTGGTCACACAGTAAGAGCTGGTCACACAGTAAGAGCTGGTCACACAGTAAGAGCTGGTCACACAGTAAGAGCTGGTCACAGAGTAAGAGCTGGTCACACAGTAAGAGCTGGTCACACAGTAAGAGCTGGTCACACAGTAAGAGCTGGTCACGCAGTAAGAGCTGGTCACACAGTAAGAGCTGGTCACACAGTAAGAGCTGGTCACAGAGTAAGAGCTGGTCACGCAGTAAGAGCTGGTCATACAGTAAGAGCTGGTCACAGAGTAAGAGCTGGTCACAGAGTAAGAGCTGGTCACAGAGTAAGAGCTGGTCACACAGTAAGAGCTGGTCACAGAGTAAGAGCTGGTCACGCAGTAAGAGCTGGTCACACAGTAAGAGCTGGTCACGCAGTAAGAGCTGGTCTTACAGAGTAAGAGCTGATCACACAGTAAGAGCTGGTCACAGAGTAAGAGCTGGTCTTACAGAGTAAGAGCTGATCACACAGTAAGAGCTGGTCACACAGTAAGAGCTGGTCACACAGTAAGAGCTGGTCACAGAGTAAGAGCTGGTCTTACAGAGTAAGAGCTGATCACACAGTAAGAGCT